TATTCAGATGTGAAGAAGTCCTGTGTGCCAACCTTACCTTGGTTTGACCCTTGAAAGATGGAAGTCCACACAATGTAGGTTGTGCCCTTTCTGGAAAACAGGTTTACAGGCATTTGTGGGTCAGGGTTATCAGAAGGAAGACCAGTCAGGGAAACCAACCATCAGCACAAATCCAGCTTAGTAGAGTGGCTTACAGTGCAAGAAAGACAAGGATTTTAACCAGCTTTTCAAAAGTACATAAAAGTGAACAAATTTTCCACATTAGGTAAGTGATGCTTCAACATAAAAGCATTGTTTGGTGCTGCACAGGGGTCTTTGCTGGTATTATTGACATCGGTGCGACATGGCTGAGCGACGTCAAACTGGGTATCTGCCAGAGCGCCTTCTGGTTGAATTGGGAACAGTGCTGCTGGGTGCAGAACAACACAGAGTTCGGGGATGATGATGACATCCGCTGCACCACGTGGTTCCAGTGGCACGAGCTCTTCGGCCTGGATGACCCGTTTGACATCAATGCGTACGTCGTCGCTTACTTGATGTTCGTGTTGTGGTCTCTGGTCATGGCGGCCTTGGCCGTGCTACTCGTACTGGCGTTTGCACCTTATGCTTGCGGCTCTGGAATACCCGAGGTGAGAAATTTAGTTTGGGATCATTGTAACACTGGGTCAGATTGTGTCAAGGTGTATATTGGGAAAAATAGGATTCTGTGATAGCTACCGGTATGGCTGATGGAGAAGTATAAAAATGAAAGAAAGTTTAAGAGAGCTGCACTCCAGCTTACTGGAGAGACTTTATTTACACTCGGAACTCACACCCCCGTTATAAGATACCATAAGGAGAGTGACATTTGAGAATAGGGCTAATACAGCTTTTGGCAATCTCTGGAGAGCAGCTCAAAAATTTCTGGTTTTTCGTCCTGCACACAGAAAAAACTGATGGGCAAGGGAATAAGGACCATATCTGCATTTTGTGTGGAGGAATGTTGGTTGAAATTGACCATGGGGTTGTACAAAGATTACATTACATCATTTCTCAGCAAGGGTGGACTAATCAGTGGGGATTCCCCACTTTGGTCATTCCTGAACTCGCTCATGATGAACATCAGTTTCTTGGTATGCTCTGTGTGTATCCTGCTTGGAAAAAACGGAGTGCTGACGTGCACACCATGAGCAAGGGGATTTCATGAGTGTCACGTGTTGAGCATGCATTGGTCAGCTCAAGGCCAGTGAAAAGCTTGTCTTTTATTGTCACAAATTGCAAATGAGGGTTCTACAACACTCTGGAACCATAATGGTGAAGGTGACTCCAAAACATGCCAAGTTGGACATAGCTGATAACGATTGCCATCTGTTGATAACTATCATTATCAGCTAAAAACCATTGTTTTCTGTGAATAACCATTGTTTTCTGTGAATAACCATTGTTATCCCCTGAAACCATCATCAGCTTATAACCATCATTGTCAGCTGATAACCATCGTTAATATCCATTTATAACCATACTTATCTGCTGATGTGCCATTCTTATCCACTGATTACCATCATTATCTGCTGATAACCACCAGTAGCCACTGATAACCCTTCATATCCACTGATAGCCCTTGTTAATCAGAGAAGAAACCATTCCCACAGAAAGGCCTAAATTCTTCTAAGTCTTGTCATTGATTGCAACTTGAATAGCATTTGGCTCTGGCTGCTTACAGATATTAACTGTCTCTGATAATGTGAGGTAAGTAAAATGAAATCAGCATCAATGGCAGTTTTTCTGTGACAAAAAACGCTGGTGTTGGGTCATTCTTCTGAGTTGTAAGTTGAGATTGAATAAACATGTTTCCTGTTTTATGGTTTCCTACAGATCAAGACCATTTTGAGTGGATTCATCATGCGCGGCTTCTTCGGCAAGTGGACCCTGCTTATTAAGAGCATCACCATGATCCTGGTGGTAGGGGCGGGGCTTAGTCTGGGCAAGGAAGGGCCACTGGTCCACGTGGCCTGTTGTTGTGGCAACCTCTTTGCCCACCTCATCCCCAAGTATGCCAAGAATGAGGCCAAGAAGAGAGAGGTAAACTGCTAGTCTTGATTCAAGGCTGTCAAAATTAGTTTCAGGTTCTTAACATTGCTGCTTAACTTGATTTGAGTATTAAGGAACAGGTGCGACAGTGAGATTAGGCTCTAAGATGCAGAGTCTCAACTGCACGAGCACAGAAACTGTGATGCTTTTTCATGATGGGAGTAAGTGTTGGCAAGTACAAAGTAACAGCAGTGGCTCACTTTTCATGAGCTGAGGGCAGTCAACCACAGAAACCCAATTTCAACCATAATTTATAGGAAAACTACAGATTTCTTAAATTAAGTATTAGAGGTCTTCGGATAGGACTGAATGTCTTCTTTCCAGTGACACCTTAATCATGTGCTCAGTGTCACAGTTGAATGAGTAACAATGCATTGTTGACTAGCAGGTGAAGCAGGTGAAAGTTGGCTTACACCCTACAGTAGATGATGCACATTTGAATGTGCTTAGGCCAACACAAACAAGTTGAATGTATGTGTATACTATTGATACACCCTGTACAGAGCGTGAAATTACAGTCGGACATCGGACATTTTCCGAGAAGTTATTGTGTTTGTCCGAACAAAATCACAGATGCTCGGACAAATTGTCTGACCAACATATCAATAACAGTTCTTAAAACATCAACACAATGTATAGGATTATGGTGTCTGATTTATTATTAGTTTTGTGTTAGAATTACGTTAATTACGCCCAAGGCATTCATCACGGCTGATCGCTCATCACCGGCCCATGTCACCCAGCGCCATGCGTGTATGTATACTTTACTTGCACAGACATGAAATCGCCCCATAATTCTTTGCTCATCGTCAACATTCACGTTTTGCTGTCACAGTGGTGAAAACACATGTGCGAAACTCTATGCATTAAACAAAGCTGCTCTGGTTCCCGGTGCCACACCCATGCAAAAGAATGAGTAATGGAAATGTAGCAACCAGTACCAGTCTGTACATGCACTGAATGTACTGTACATAAACACTCTTCATCAGCCGTACATGTCACGAGTGCAAAAGGCTGCAGGCCGGAAAGACATCGATGTTGCAAGAGGTTTTCTGCAAGTTAATTCACAGAACTTGGTCTCTTATATGTATGTATTTCTGTGTTCAAGAGCGTAATTTGAGATCTGTTGTTCTGCTCATGGCACAAGGTTTAGTGCCTGCTGGCCCAGATCATGCATCACGCACGTGATACACGGACATTGTTGGCCAGTTTGCCGTCGTGATTCTGTGAATTGTTCATAATTTTCTTGTGAATTGCCGTATGTAGAAATTTTCACATAGATTAAGACAGGTGTTCATCACTTTTTGAGATACTTTTGGAGGCTGTCGCCCCCACTGATGCCATTCAATCTGCACAAAGTTGCCCACAAACAAAAAAATCTTCCAATCTTCCGACCCAATTTTTGAGAGGCAGGCACAGCACAACTACATGTATTTTTTGGCCTAATAAAAGACTGCATTTATACAGCAGGCCTTGGTTAAACAACAATAATTGTGGATTCTGTGAAATCTTTGGCAAGTGTTGATACAATTCGAGCAAGTAAATTTATGACATGGCCTGCCTGATTGGGCAAACTAAAAAAATGTGCCCCAACAAGGATTGCTCAATGCGGCTGTATGTGCGGTTCTGGTAGTGGTAGGAAGAGGGGGGAAAAAATGAATTTTGACCCCTGACCCTGCACGCCACAACTCTACCTTTTATATGATATGGCAGATCAAAAGATGGTAATGGCAGAACTAAATTGATTGTGTTATGACATTTTGCCCGAGCACTTTTTTGGTCTAATTTTGCACTCTGCTGTATATTGTCTGACATTAAGTGTGTTTTTAGAGAACTGACCGACAACAAATTTCATCATTCCAATGAAATTCATCGCTCTAATATCAGGAACGTTACATTTTCTCTTTGACTTTTTATGTTTACTAGGTCCATTTTTCACAAAGAGGTCATTTTATATCCGTTTGCTGTACGATATATTTAGTGATCTTGTTTACACTCATAAGGAAACACTTTGAGTCTCTTTAGAGTTTCCAGACATCAAACCATTCTGAATTTGCAAAGATAACCAAGTGTTGTGTATTACATGTCTTTCCTATTTCAACAGATGCTGTCTGCCGCCTCAGCAGCGGGCGTGTCTGTTGCATTCGGTGCTCCTATTGGTGGGGTGTTATTCAGCTTAGAGGAGGTATGTTGTCTCAACTACCAGTGTGTGTTTACATGTAGAGAAGTTTCTTTAAGTGGTGTCCTCTTTGGCCAGTTTTTATAGGCCTGAGAGAGTGGCTGAATCTAGTTGTCTGATTGGAACAATGCAATAATTTTTTGTTCTTAAAATCACTTTTTGTGCATGATGAAACTCTTCTTCAATGTACTGGTATGAAAGCTGTTTGAAGTCTTTTAGGTGTCAAGTGAATTGTAAAGTGCACTCTTATGAAACATTTGAAATCAACCAAACCTTTCCAGACAAGTGAGGGCTCTGTCAGCGTGATGTCAATCCGGGAAGAAACTTTTTAGTTTGCATGTTTTCATGTTCAAATTTTGAACCCTAGATTTGCTCTTTGAAAACATGGTTGAGAAAGGTTGCTCGCTGGCTGATTTCCATATACTTATACAATAAGAAGTTGCCAAAAGAAATAGAAGCCTTTATTGAGATTCAGTGCCTTCGATTACATCCCAGTCTTGCTCATGAATATGCAAACTCATATTTCCTTAAAACCAAAAAAGTCTCAAAAGGCATATGGAAATGGGAAAGCCAAAATTGAAAGTAAGGTTAATTGAAACTCAAGGGCGCAATTCAAGGTTTTTAGTAAATATTTGTATTTCATGGTCCTTTATAGCTAGTGTACACCAATCAGAAAATCTCCCAAATCGGACTACCGTGTAATCCTGAAATATCTTACTTGAAAGAAAGTACATTACAGCCTCAATCAGTCTGTAAGATATTTCCGCCCAGAATGCTTTAATTTTGAGAAACAGACATTTTGTTCTCTTTTAAGAGTTCATTTCAAGATATGTGTGTTTTCTTTCACAAGCATGTTTGTTTAAACAAACTACTTCCACGAGACTCTTCTGTGTTCTGCCAAGTGCTACATGTGACCATATAGACCAATCAGAGTGTCTGTTTAGACTCACCTTGCCTGATTCTCTACAGATAAGTTACTACTTTCCCCTGAAGACCCTGTGGCGGTCTTTCTTCTGTGCAATGATCGCGGCTTTCGTCCTGCAAGCCATCAACCCGTTTGGCAACGACCACGCCGTCAAGTTCTATGTGGAGTATGACACGCCCTGGTACTTCTTTGAAATTGGTCCCTTCATCCTGCTAGGAATCTTTGGGGTGAGTCTCTGTCTCAGATGCTTTGCAGGACCAAAGACGATTTGAGCGCGGAGAGAAGCATTTTTGCCAACCATTCTGATTCAATTGGAACTGTCCCGAGTTTGACGTTTTCAGACTGCAAAAAATTGGAACTTTGCCACTTCCATACAAAGAAAGATGTAGAAATAAAATGCTCTGGCAAAAGACGGCGCTATTGTAGAAAAAGAGGGCGCTATTTGCCGTGTCAAAATGGCAGCTGTTTATATGTGTGTACAGTACACATACATTAGCTTCACTTGTGTGGCTGGTTGTTTTGCTGTGGGCTTGGAAAATGGGTGTTCCAATTTCTGATTTGTCAATATTGGTAGGTTGTGGTGTGCATCTATTGATTAGCAGGAACCATTTGTCCTTTTTAACCACTTCGTGCTGGGGCATTTTTCAACGTTGATGATGCTGCGCTGGCATGACTAGCATTTTTCCGTTTTCAAAATCCTTCAAAAATTCATCATTCCATTTAAGGGTCGTTTATAGCCGCACAAAGTAATCTGTAGGCACTACTCTAAGTTGACAGGTGGCCTTCATTGACGCCCGAGTATTT